ACACATGAATACCAATTTTATCTTTAAAATGGCGTGCTAACTTTTTTCGGTTTGCAGGTCTTATGAAAGTGATCACTATGTCCAGATCAGTTTGCATGTCACAGTTGTTTTCAAAATGTTAGGCGATGCTTTATCTAAGCCTAAGCCTAAAGTCACAGGTAATATGCAGTGTTAAACATAATTTTGATTTATGCATATTCATTAATTGTTGGAAACGTTTATTTCCACAGTAGTTAATTTTAAAAATTGTGAACATATTTACATCCATGCGTCTGTCGCTGCATGCTTTCGATGAGTGATCTAGATTTTAGTAAAGATTTTGGTAGCTATCATTTTTGAATTTCCCTGCTGAATGTTCTAACAGTTAGATACATCGGTCTTTCATGAAAATCACTAGATTTTTCAGCGTTTTTTGCATTCAAGCTGAATTCAGCTTCACATCATGAAGAGACGGGCAGTTGACGTTGTTCCAAGAGAAGAAAACACTGAGTAAATGTCTTGTATCTTGTTTCGCATACTTTTATTTATTTACTTTGTCACATTTAGTATGGAAATGGAAGTTGATATCGATAATGAATCGGTGCCAAATAACGGCGATGAATGCAAAGAAAATGAAACCTTCAATGTAACAACTTCTGACGGTAGGTGCAATACAATATTAGTATTTTTTGAAAGCAAGCAGGATTAATTGTAGTAGAGACACTGCTATCCATGGAGGTTCCGCCGCCCCCGCAATCGATTGCTGATTTTCTTGGCACTGGCTCTAGGCTTTGCATCATGCAGATTGTCATGGAAAATTTCAAATCCTACTACGGTCGTCATGTTTTGGGCCCGTTTCATAAGGCATATGATCAGTATTTTAGCGCTTTTTTTGTCTTACTACCTGTTTCAGAACTTTACGTGTATCGTCGGTCCAAACGGAAGCGGAAAGTCTAACGTCATAGATTCGCTGTTATTCGTTTTCGGCTTCCGAGCACAGAAGATTCGTTGCAAGAACATGCGTGTGTTGATACATAATTCTGATGGTCATCAGGACGTTGATTTCTGTTCCGTAGAAGTGCACTTTGCACTTATTAACGACACTGCCGATGATGGGAATCTTCCTGGACTGGACAGCAATTATAAGATAGTCCAAGATAGTGAATTCGTCGTGGCACGCACCATTGACAAGCGCAACAACTCACGATATCTTCTGAACAACAACGTTGTTCAGTTCAAGGATTTGTCAGCATGGCTACGCCGCAACGGCATCGACTTAGACCACAATCGCTTCCTCATTTTGCAGGTAAAGAAATCAGCTGCGATTATTGTGACTTGCTATTTTAGAACAGTAGACGATGGATGAAACCTTTGCATTTAATAAGATCTGTGAGTGCGCAAGGGAATATCAGCTTTGTTTGTACATCGCCTTCGTCGATTACGGGAAAACGTTCGACATAGTCGAGTACATTGCATTGTAGACTCTGCTGGCATGACAAAGCATCAACATTCGTTATATCAGCATGCTAAAGAAAGCGAACTCTGGCTGGTTCACAAACATCACTCCGTTCTACACCCGTTCCCTGTTCCTGTAAAGAAAGGCGTGAAACTAGCTGAGTCCAAATCCCCTAAACTCTTCACTGCCTGTTTCGAATTTGTGTTCCGGTGAAAATAACAAATAACAAGACAGCTCAGCTGCCTAAGGTCTATTGATGACGTAGAGCTGTTTGCAAAAAACGCCAACTAGGCCGCTTTGTCGCCTAGCATATCCATGGGAGGGTTTTATCAGGAATCCGAAAGGCTGCATTAGGAAGAAGAAGGCTCGAATACGTTAGGAATGGTGGGCATGTATCGGCAGATGCGATTCATCGCTGGTTTAAATCTGTAAGGTGGCAGATGTTTACGTGAGAAGCT